CCATATATCTCGCCAAAGAGAATTTGGCTGGTGTATTTATTTATTAACACCAAATAAATAAATCAGATCATAAAATCAAGATTTAAAAAAAGTGTTACAGGACACACTGGAGATCAAAAAACGATTTCACTTCAAATTATTGAGACAATAACAAGCATTCAAATAATGGGTCTTGCTGAAGCTCCCAGCTCAAGTGCCTGTGGGAATCCCTGATGAAAGGGCAACAAGATTGAGGCTATCTGGATCTCCAGGGGAATGCTGTTCCACAGGACAGGAGCAGCAATAGAGAAGGCAGGATTTGTAGACCCAACAAGATGATACTCTCTACAGATGGGTTTTAGAGAATGATATTTGTTGTTCAGTTGTTAAGTCGTGTCTAACTCTTCGTGACCTCATTGTTTCTGGGACAGCTAAACTTAATCTTGAACAAATTAATAGGTGCATATGACCTGCTGAATACAGGAGGAGCTACATGTTACAATTTCAAATGATGAATGTGTGAATTTCTAGGTCACGGTGTTCACTCCAAGAAACCACAATTTTTCTTATGATTATTTCTTAATCAATAACTGTTAAAGTATGAACTCTAATTTGTAATACACTTGGAGAAAGAAATTATCTACAGTGATCTAAGTATCCTTATGTTTAACAATTAATTATCTATTATTTTTAGCAAGCTTTCCTATTCTTTCTCTCTAACTTAAGATGCAGATATATATTTAGGGCTGTGCATCATTCAGAAGTGCTTCAGAACTCATATAAGAACAGCATCCCTGCTATTCATTAAAGCAGTCCAGCCATTTTTCAGGCACCTTTCTGGGAAAACAGTTACTTAAGTGAATAGATTCCTTAAGACAGCTATATCTTTTTTTTCAGGCTTGGGTGGAACACAGAAAACAGGCTGTTTTAAAAAACAACAGAAAGGTGTTAGACTTGTGCAAGAACTGAAATACTTTTTCAGATTATTTTGGAAGTAGGCACAGCTCTAGTACTTGTTGCATCTTATCTACCTTGTGTGTGTGTGTGTGTGTCTGAGGGAACCAGAGGAGTGTTGTATATCTGATGTTCTGATTAAGCAAGAAAGTAAAAATAATTCAGTAAATATTAAAACTGGAAATATCTAGGAATTATATCTATGTTCAGAGTATTGTGATTAGCAAATGAAGAGCCTTCTCAAAGGCCTTGCAATCAAGACCAGGCATGGACCTTATTTTTATACATGTTTCTTGAGGACAATATTAATCCTTATATCCATGTATCCTTGTGTTTGTATAACACAGCAGCTAACAATCATCATTTTTTGATATCTGGGCCATATTTTCTGGCTTATTATCCTGGATTTATTTATTTTTAAAATGTATGCCTCATAGAAAAACTCTTTACAAAATTCTTTAGGGAAACTGAAAATAATAAAACACTATAGAATAAATAAAAAGAATAAAAGCACTACATTACTATATGCTTCTCATCAATTTTTAATTTCACCAACCTCTGCATCCTGGAATTATGTCTATAGCATTGATTACTGAGGATCACTTTTCTTAAACATCTGAACACTTGTGGGAATGCTACACTAATATAAACAAAAGTTAAAGTTCACAAGAACTTTCCATAAGTAATCAACTGCTTGTACAGGCAAGCTGAGATCTACATTGTTCTCATGAACATACAATTCATAGGGCAGCTCAGTCTTATAACAATTTTAAAAAAAGAGAGAGAAATTTATAGTGAAGACATTCATAAAAAAAGTTTTAATTGTCTGACTACAAATGCACTTACCTATCATGATTATTGGTGGCCTAAAGTAAGAAAACTGATGTTTTAATGGATAGGCACCCAGACCTAATCATGATGATGGAAAAAATGACAAAACATGTCTCATGATGTCACGTTATATACAGATGCAAGTACATAAGTGGTAGGGTTGGCACTGACACAACACACATATTGATTGCCCCACATAGATGCCTATGTTTTAAAGCTTACTTGCCACAAAAGACAACAAAACAAATCTGCAGTATCGTGTAACATACTATGCTCAAACATAGTCATGCTTAACATTATGGTCTGAATCACAGAACACAATGAACTCAAAGCCTCATTTTAGTCTGATCTAGCATGTTGTGCAAAGCCTGCCATGAATATCTGAAAGTCGGAGTTAAATGCATGAGAGCCAACTCTTATATCAGTTTGCAATCGCTTATCCAAAGATGAAGCAGCAATAGAGCCTATAAAGATCCAGAAGATATACTCTTTACAAATGGATCCCTTGAACCATAGAAAATGAATAAAACAATATACAGTATGAAAGGTGGTCAGCAACTTCTCACAGTGACTGAGATATGAACCTTAAAAAATAGCCAAAAAACTTCACTCAGCCTATCTAAATATTTATAAACTTTTTTATCCTGTACTCCTCTCCATACACAAAGTAAGTGATTTCTGAAAGATTTACTTTGGAAGTTTGAGAGCACTATTAAATTGGGTCCTATCTTTGAAAACCCAAATAGAATTCCTGTTATTTCAACAGAGTCATCCTCCTAGACAACAGGCTTACCACTATTATATAATGTCTGATTATCTTCAGGTTTGACTATCACAACGTGACATACATAGGATTACCTTTGAAGTCAATTAGAGCAACTCAAAATGCACACATCATTAGACTACAGAGCAGTCCGACAGACTATAGAACCCTGAAATTTTTCAAAGCTTCATTAATACTAATTTATTTCCAAGCACAATTATTGTTGATTTTAATTTGGATACTCTACATTTGTTGGTCTTCCAATAACACAGAGCTGAGCATCAGTGACTCTCCAGTTTTTGTAGAGCAACAACCTCCATCATTTCTCCTTAATGACCCAGTTGGTTATGCCAATATGAGTTGGTATTCAGCAAAAACATATTCCCATTTCTCATCTGAATCTTCTACTCTCACATAAACTTGACTAATTAATATTAACACTTTCTGGTATCTTTCCTTGAAGTCTGTGCATTTTGAGCTGAAGCAGGTACTGAGAGGTTAAATGCTCTTTTCAGTAGTAGCATCCCATTTTCTGGAACACCTGATACCAAGCAGTTTCTTTATATGACCATATAACAATCTTTTTATTTATACTAGCTTTTTAAACATTTTACAGCTTTTATTGTTTAAAGGTGATATAGGGGATAGTTCATTCTGCATTACAGTAAATTTTTAATACAATTATAAGCTATTCAAGAATCTCAACTGAATTGAAGGATAAGTTGTAAAATAAATGCTGTATTTGCAAAAGTCTTTCACCTGGTACGACACAGCAGTTTTTACCTTACTGAAGGTGATGGGGGGGGGGGGAACTATATATATAATTGCCCTTACAGCGGATGGACGCAAAACAAATTGCTTTTCCATTTTGACAAGGATAGGTCCAATCTCAGTAAGACATTTAGTTCTACTGCAGAATTTGACTTAAGAAGAAACTTTAAAACTGTGGCACTATATTTGCTATTTTAAAATTGTATGATACACCTCAACAGCTTATTCATTATAAAATCTGCCTGTCATGTATGAATAATTCCAAAATGGCAATGTATATAAAAATGGAGATGTGTATATCCCACTTCACATTATCCTGTAGTTAAAAAAAAAAAAGTCAAAACAGACCAACTAGCATGGCACACCCAACTATAGGTCCTAGTTAAAGCAAACGGAGGAAAGAATTTGCTTTTCTCCCTGTTACTGGGAATGTCTACTGTCCAGTCCATCAATATAAATGAATCCAGTCATAACTGAGGAACACTTGAATATCTGCCCCATTGCAGTAAAATTCCAAGTCCAAACATGTGGTTGTAACAGTAGCACTATTTCACTTTAATGAAAACAAGCAAAAGCGAATATTTTTCTTCCAGTGTATCTAAATGCATGTTCACCTATTACAAATATCAGTTCTTTGCAAATTATTCAACCAGTGGAAAAGGAGCTACATGAATCATTCATTTATTATTAACCACATCATTTTCTGTTACACACAAGGCTGTCCTGTCTCTCACCCAAATCCAGTTACCCAACACAGTTTATGCTCTCATAAATGAACACCGTCTGTAAAAGCAGAATGAAACAATTCTGGGATTTCAAGGTCAAAAAACAGGGATAGAAAATACTGTCATCTAACCAATAAGGGTAGAAACATATTTGTAAACAGTAGCTTTAGACATTTTAATCATCATACTTTTCCTTAAAAAAGCAACACATGAATAGTGCCTTTACCATTTATGAATATAATGCCCATGATCTTCCCAGCTAAGTTTATACAAGTGATTCTTTCATTGACAATATCAGTAAAATGTTCAAATCCTACACAATTTCAGGATGGGAAGCAGTCTCAAATCTTGAACTTCAACCCTGTTTATCTTACACAGCAGAAATCCAGACATAATGACACTTAGTAGCAACTAATTATTATAAGACATTACTTTCAGCTTTCATTTTTATTCAGCACACACACAACACTATCAGCCCGGTTTTCCATTTGTTTTTTTAAAAAATCATGATATCCCTAAGATTAACAAACTTACTGCAGCATGAGATTTCAAAATGATACCACTTTACCATGACCCTGGGGGGAGCTAGGCTGCAGCCTGTAATAGCACATACCTTAGTCAGTTCATTAGTATTTAAGATGCAACATGACTCTTTATTTATTGTTTTTGTTTTGTATTACTACAGATTAAACATGACTCTTCTAGACTAAGAAATAAACAATCTTTAAAAATTCCAACTAAAATACAATGTAATTCTAAAATAAGGGCACTTTCAAGAAGACAGAAACTGATCTTTATGAAAATGTCCTATAGCCTTAAAACAAAATTGCTAAATCATACACCCTTTCCTAAAAGCAAACATCTGATTGCTTTTATGACCTGAAACTATACACCTGAAACTTAATAATTTTGTAAATATCAATACTCTAGTTATTGTTTTTGCCTTAATTTTGAAAAGAATTATAATATTTACTCACTTTCAATGAATCAAAGCAGGCGATTACACGTCCATTTTCAACTTGGCAGCTTTTCGAAGGATGTGCAAATTTACATTCCGTATCTGGTCGTGAGCAAGTCCCTCTTTGGAACTCTCGACATACTTCCAGTGTTAGCCATTTTGTGTCCCGGATTGGTGTGACACTTACAGCCATGTTTAGATTTTACAGGTAGTTAAAATTGTCAATGAAATGAACAAATTAAAAAAGGCCAAACTGATAAGACTGGAAATGATGAAAAATGTCACCTCCAAAATATTTCCCCAGTCCCCGAGCCCAATGTTAAAAGATGTAAAATTGTGTTGTTGCAACAGCAAGGAAGAGATATTCCCTCTAGAAAGTCACAGCATGAAACTGTCAATCAAAAGAGAGGGGGGGGTCAAACTTAGAGAAATGCTAGGATCAAAAGTAAGAGGAGCATTTAAAAGTGTGCCTTGGAACTAGCCTTGTGCTTTCAGTAACCCATTCTGAATGCCGAATCGGAGCCCCAAATGCAAGCAGCAAAAACGTGGCAGACCCTTCGACACAGAATTTTTCAAGCTGCTCTCAGGAAAAGTTGTCTCCACACACAGCTGAATCTGTAATAATTATTCTTTCTTAATTTTTGGTGTGGTGCAATTGGTAATGATTAGTTTGGCACAGACAGATGCAGCAGTTTAGAGCAACAAATCGAGAAACTGGTTTGGATTTTTTTTTCCTCTCCTCTTGGATTTTTTTTCCCCCTTTCTTTCTTTCTTTTCCTGGCAGAAGACAGCTCACTTTTCCAGCAAACTTTTATTTCTGTAAGAATAACTAAAGCAGCCTAGGGCAATGCCTGATGCTTAGAGGGGAGGGGTGGCTGGGCGAGAGGTGAGGGTGGATGTGGCGTCCTCGCAGTCTAGCTGGCAGCAAGCAAGGCAAAAAGCAGAGACTGCTCTAGAAGCGATTCCAAGCAGCAGAGACGTCAGGAAAGGCACTTCTTAGTACCAACCTGTAGAAAAAACAGATAGGTTAAAATTTACCAAGCAGCATTTCACTGATGTCTCACAGCATAATCACGTTGCCATGTGCTCCTTCAGTCTACTAGTTTACAGCATGATACTCTTTTCCGTTTCCAATGAAATACTTACAGTATAGCATATTGCAGCCAGCCATCACAGATTTATTAAAAAGGGGGCCGTTTTCCCCTTCTGAAGCAAGGCATGATAGAGAGATAACCAATCACAGATAGTGTTGCAGCAATATTCTGGGCAGGAAGCCAATAATGTAGGCTGTCTTATGAAAGGTCGCGCCTGTCAGACATTCATTACTATGCTGTAAGCAGAGAAAATGTCCATCGGATGCGACTTATTCCCCCACCAGAGGATGACCATGTGCGGGTTTTGAATTTACCCAACATGCAGTTAGAGGATTAAACCATGTTAGTTTTTAAGTCGCTTCCAACTGGAGCCAAAGTGCTTGTAGCATCCAGAGAGAGAGGGGAATGGAAAGAAAGTCGGGGAGGGGGGAAGCAAGCTTCGTCCTAGCAGCTCCGTTTTAGATTGCGTTCCCCCTGCTTTGCATCCAGCTCGGCAGGCACAGAGCACGCCTACTATATCTGACAGATGAATATAAAAGGAAGAGGGGAGTTCAGAAATGGTACAGTCTCCTGACCTATTCCATTCACTTCCTTCGAAATCTCAAGTCCTGCCTCTTCCAGAGAAGGCAACTCTTTTTTCAAGTGCTGGAGAACTATTCTCTTCGGTGAGCAGAGACGCTGCCAGCAGCGCCAAGGCAGGTTAGCTAGGAACAAATAAAAACGCCTTCCCCACCACCCTAGGCAAAAGCCTGGCTCGAGCAAGAGGGGGTGGCCACAGGAAACCTGGCAACCCAGCGACAAGCCTAGATCAGGGGATAAAACAACCTTATATATTAAGCTGGCAGGCTACTCTGAACCACGCAAGAGGACTTCAGATCAACACTTTCGAATTAAAGCAGCGGCAGCAGCAAATGCCAGCAAAGCTTCCTAATTCACAGCGTAACCCGCAGCTCTGCTCTTGCAGGAACTTGTCGGCTTAAAATGGCTTCTGTTTAGGGAGCAGTTCACTTTGCATTTTTCTAGCAGGGTACTGTTTGCCCAGGGTGGAGGGGAAAAAGGAAGAAAAAGTTGACGATGATGGTTATTATTCAGAGAGGCCAAGAGCTGCAGTATTTCTTGGACTTTGGGGGAAAGAACGGCCATTTACATTTTATAAACCTAATTAATTTGAAGGGCTTCCAGAACATTTATATGGTTTTATTTTTGTTTAGTTAACTGGAAAAGCACTGTTCCTTGTGCACTGTCACAAACACTGATACATGCTTACTCCTCAGGATTCGCTGTCCTTCTCAGTAAATTCACAGCATTCTTTACCCATTCTTTAGATCAAAATATCTAAAACTTGAGAAAAGAGTGGTGCTTATAAATAGGGCAGCCCCATCCATGAAAATGCCTTTACAATTCTCTATCCAAACTTCTGGGTTTCTTCCTGCCAGCCCATCAAAATCTAAAAAGGAGGATCAGCAAATGCAGAACCACAGCCTGTGTCAAATATGGTCACCTCTCCCTTATACTGTACATTGACAATCAATGGTGAACTAACAGCCCAGTAGTACAATATTGGCCCTGTTCCTTTCCTTCTGCTACATTTTCAAAGTGACCATAAACTGTTGATATGAATGTCACTATTGTACAATTCTTTCCTATGTGTCTATTTGAGCTTGTGTATCAGGAATTGGCAATATTTTTGCAGAGGTAGGGGGACACACTTTTAAAAGTGGTATCTTCAGCCTCTAGTTCTTGGGTTATTCTAAGGACATGGCGGGAGCTGAAGGAGGGGGGGGGAATCACACCACTAGAAGAAACACCATCTTGCCACTCCAGAAATGCAAAAATGGGGCTACATACAACTCATGAGCTATAAGTTGCCCAGCAAGCCAGCATGTTTCCCTTTGCCTAATAATTTATCGATGGTTTTAGTGCTAATAATAATTGATTTGTCCCTTTTTAAAATGCATTCAACCCTATGTGTATTTACTCAGACTATACCTTTTTGAGTTCAGTGGGGTTTATTCCCAGATAAGTGAGCACCAGACTTCACCGTTAAAGGACAAGAAATCCAAAGCATAAACACATCAAAAGGCTGTTGATTCCAAAACACTTTCACGTGTACTCCTTGTTGTACCAAGAGACACGGAGAGTGCCATTGTGAATTTGGTCTGCAAAAACAGTGACTCATTTCTGAATATATGAATTCAAAACATGCTGCAATCACTAATGCCCACTGGCAATATCACATCAGTTTAAATGTTCTTTAGAAGAAGAGTAAAGGTCTCTTCTTTCAGGTTAGTTGCACTATGTAAGGTATAACGAACTGATGAGACATAGGTTAGCAGAATGACAATCTGTTGTCCAGACAAGTGGTCCAGAGGAGGACTGTTCCATTCTGGTGTTCTGGAAAACAACAGATTTTCTACACCCCCACTATAAAATGTGCATGTGTTACTCTCCAAAAAAAGATAATTTTGTTGAAAAAGTACCTATATATCACTATATTGCTTTAGATATGGTCAATCAAATGTATGCTATTATCAAACTAATAAGCATCCTCAACATTTTACAGAAAAACTGTAAATACTAGTACAATGTTTCATATTGATTTGCTCTGCAACACAAGGTAGAGAAAATAATAGCCTGTTCTGGCAAAGAATTTAAGGACAACTACCACCTGCATAAGAACACCAGAATTCTGAATACATTGAAATTTCATCTGCACTTTAAACAATATAATGTATTGATATAAATGTTAAATAATAACAATGGTTTCAACAAAATCAGTGAAATTCACCTATATTAAAACTTAATTCCATAAACATAAGGCTTTATCACAAGGACTCTGCAATCAGAGCAGTGTTTTATCTACTCCAGTACACAGCTTCCAAAACAAAACTGAGCAGCCAAATTCCTGCACAGTACCCACAACCAGATATAAAATCAACTGCCCTGCCTTTCCACTTGTCCCTGACCTACAATTTATTTTAAGACACTGAACTGCTTAACTGGATCTTCTTCCTGTTTGAAATCAAGAACCTCCATAGATTAACTTTGTAATTCTGAACTCATCAAGAGCCAAAATATCTGAGTATAATTTTCACAGTCACAATAAAGGCCCTGTATGACCCATTCCCTTCTTCCAATTTTAGCATGCCGTTTTCATGTTTTCTATCTCTGAGATAGATTTATTTATGATCCTAGTAGACAGGGACAATATTTTCTGGATTTTGGCAAGCTTTAGCCGTTTTGCCATGAATCCATCCAGTTATTCCACTTTGCTTATTTTCATTTGCCAGTCTGAGTTGAAAAACAGCAATGAACACTAAGCTGCACAACTTGATTTTCATTATTGTCCTTGTGATTCCCTACCCCCATTCCAAATCTGACTGGACAAAGTCTGAAAACTCTTGAACTGCAAATATTTAACTACCATTACTCAGAAGTAAGTTCAAGGTTCTATCATCAGGATATGTCCATTCATTCTGATATGACTCTAACTTTAGGGATATACACCAAGCTGTATTCTAAGGGCATAATAAACCTAAGAGATTTACGAGGATAAGAGCAGGCTCATTCCCAACATCTTGCCTAAATCTGCATGAAGCAATTCTCCAAGTGCTACAAGGTCTTGATTATGTCCACACACTCTATTCATAGAACTAGGCTTCTCGCATAAGTGGCACTACTGTTGTCGCAAGGAGTAAGAGATTAATAAACATTAACTTGGGATAAGGTAAGCTGCACAGCATATATCAAAAGAGGGTCATTAGAAGAGGACATGAAATTATACTAGATATACTTAAAGCAAATTTTACAAAGTCATGCTGATGTTTTTTATCTGTGAACATGTATTTCTATTGGATATTAAGGTAGGTCTGAACGAGTACCCCAAAACAACACTATATTATTTTGTTAAATATCTGACATGTCTATAATCACAACACCAGACCTAATCAATGGTACACAGTCATAATTTCCTCCCATTGTTTTATGTAACAATGTAACTAAAATGCTTCTTGAACCATAATGATGATGAAACAAGGTAATAACTCTCTTGCCTATAATTTATACCAAAATTGTAATGGTGTCTAATCTATGACTGCTGAGCTGGCCATTCTATCAAGCACAGTAAATTATTTTTGTGTCCAATAAAACTCTCAGAACAGATCTGAGTATCATATTATATAACTTTGTATCCATGAATTTGGAACCAAATTTACAATAAAATAAGATGCACTGTTTATCCTATTTATTTATTTAAAAATATTTTAATACTCTCAATGCTTACCAGGAACTGCCTCATCTGACTTTTCTGAAGTTTCTTTTAGTAAAAAAACAAACTGGAAGTTACCACACTACAAAACAGAGCATCAGCCCCTACTTCTTAATGTATTTGAGGCAATAACTTTAGGTACCACAAAGGTCCTACTGTGAAAGTAGAAAGCATTCTGGAGGACTCATGCACTTTCTGGTTTCTGGATATTTTGTAACTGTCCCAGTGAGACAGCCATTTAATAAGCAGGCCAGTCTATCACACTCCCTCATGCTCTCTAAACTCCAAATGTGCTTCTAACTCAAAAGGAATACCTACCCCGATCTACATATTACTCAAGACAGCTTACAAATCTTTATCTGTCACATGCCTGTAATAAAACTGCATTACAGAATGTCATAGTATAAATGGATGCAGGCTCAGCTGGCAAAAAATAAATATAAAAACAGTATGTCAAAAACCTCCAACAGCACAAAATACAAGAGATGTGGACTGAGTGTCACAACTGGACTGCAAAGCCTCTGCTATGGGAATGCTCAATCCTTTAGATAAAGAACATTTAATGTTTACAAGGGCAATCTTCTAAACTTCCCAGTGCATTGTTGTTTGTTTACTATCCATGATTAATGGTGCTACATAGTCAAATCTGCTCTGAGATACCATCCTGCTCATTCTATTTTCTCCAAATAACCACATATCTGGGCCCCAAGACAACAAGGTTTTAAAGATAATTATCCAGTTCTGAAATCCACACAGTAATAAACTAACCAATGCACTTGTGGATAGGTATAATTCGATCAAATGGGTCACTAACATCCTTGCACCTGCATTCCTGACCAGTTTCCAAAGAGTTATCAAAAGTAGCTCTATGTAAAGCATATTGCAATAATCCATTCAGATGTAAGTAAGGCATGCGTTATTGTTGCTAGATCTGACATGCTCTGAAAAAGAAACAACTGGTATACAATTTTAAGTTGTGTAAAGGCATCCTGGCCATTATCACTGTCTATTTTTTGAACACCAAGACTATTTAGGAATATCCTCAAACTTCAAAGTTGATTCTTCAAGAAGAAGAATAAAAAGAGCTGAATCTTTAACCAGGAACATTTCTGTCACCTGGATTAATCTTCTACCCATCCGCACCATGACTGCACTGACTCAGGACAACCATTGGATG